GATACCACAGATTGACGAATCAGCAGATATAACAATCAGGATGCCAAATGTGAAAGGATTGCATATCTGGTTGGCAGAGCTACACTCGAGGCGGATAGTACGTACATTATCATTGTTGAATTTATGAATATTTTAGTAAAACATTGTCCAAGATAGAAACCTGATACTTGGACGCAGATGCATCAACAATTCCAGCCAGCGTACACACTCAGAGGACCAGCTCATGTTCCATTGTCTAGTGAAAATCAGTAGGCGTTCTATCTCTGATGATTAAGACGAGATGGACGGATAAAGGAGAGGTGGTTAGAATGCACTAAGTAAGTGCCATTTAACCTTTATTATGTTTGTGGCCATTGTCAAGGAAACCGTAATTCTCTGAAACAAATGGTGCATATATCACTCGATGTCCCTTAGTTTCCAGTCCAATAGTTGTGGTGGACTGGAAGTTCCCCGATTTATTTGATCTGATGTATTTTCTACCCATGTCGTCCAAAATGACGGCGAATTATGCCTTCTTTGCACGCATTTTACCATGAGAGACTGATTATTCAACGCATAGGTCAAAGGGATGCCACCTTTTCATTCTTGCGTAATACTTACCATTTGCTGAGCGTAAATATTTGACCAAGATGTATTATTGGATTCGTCGCTCAAAATGTAAATTGGATGGCCAGGGAAATTTTCTGGATAAACGTATCAAACGTGAGTCTGTAATTTTAACTCAAAACAACCTCTTTCCTGCGAACTGGGCTGGCGAGTGTGTTTAATCTTCGGATTAGTTGGATGGCCTGCACCTGCGTTCCGTTTGAAATGTGCAAGCAATTCATAAATTTTCAGTCAATCAAATGAAACGTGAATTGGGTCACTCCCCTGAATAATGGGGTGTTCCAGTATTTTTCACTGTGCTTCACAGTTATCCGATGGTTGGCCACTGAGGGCATGTGGTATTTTATTCATCTACAAATATTGTTCACTCAGCACGTTTGCATTTACAACTCAATGAGCAGAAGGAGCAGCGTGTATGTTCATTTTATTAAATCATAAGCAAAATAAGCATCATTTTCACAATCTCAATGTTCCATCTCTACCCCGTGAACAAGAATGTGATGCCAGGAAGGCGAAAGATGGTCGCCTTAACTTAATGGTACTTGACAAGATGTGCAGTCAGTAGACTCGAAACCGAATTGCCGGGCCAAGCGGATATCTGAAAATGAGAGTTGAGCAATCTTCCTTAGACGGGATGTTTCCACCGACAGAAATTGACAAAATATTTTGCAACTCAATTTCCAAACACAACCGCGCCAAAGATAGTGGTATATATTTTTGTCAACTGGGTCTCATTAGAGTAGGCTTCGCAGAACGATGGTGTTCGGAAACGCCACGAGTTGGCTGGATCCTACGAAATAGCCCCGAGTTCGCCGGAAAACAGCACTATACAATTTGGATACCGTGTACAATATTTTGATTTCAGTTCATTGAGAAGTTATACTAAGCCTGAAGCGGATGCTAATTCAGTGTCACATAAGGTAACGTTTTTCAACGAATGTAGTATTTTCACTAGTTAAGCGTTGTTGGCTGACGTAGGTATATGCGAATGGACTTGAGGTGCAGTTTTCGAATTCCAACATCGATAACCAATAATTTTAAGCCAAAAGTTACTAGTGTTAAAGGTGGATGTAGCACTGAATTTGATAGGTTATAATTCGCGTCCTCGATTTTTTTCGTTTTTCGTATGCAATTGCCATTTCCATGCGAAATTGCGGCAGCCCGTTTAGGAATACAGATTCTCCACACGGTCGTGGCCGACCGGCAACCATCTGTTTATGGCGACCGGACTAATTGCCTAGCTGACGTCAGTAATACCTTTGGGAACCGCAATTTTCAATTGATCCCTACGCTTAAAACGCATGAATTATAAATAAGCCCTGAAACCCAACCTTACACAGGTTTCCGTTTTTTTCGTGCCCAGACGCACTTTAGTAAACTCACACTTTAGCATGTCTCACAGAGTGCAGAGGAGCACAAATGCAGAGCTGTGTGTATCAAACGTACCAACTTTTCTCCAAATGTTTGGTATTTTTTCTCTGTACCGAAATGTATGTACGCTATCTGCAATTTGGATGAAACCGGATGCCCTGCTTTTGAGTCTTCCAGTCAAACAGGAATCCTTTGAAGTTCCTTGGTTCAAAATCATATAGTATGTATAATTTCCAGAACCTCCTATTTACAAAAACCCACGTGTGACCATCATTCCTGCGACGGTGCGCAATCAAAATTTAAGCGGTAACTACAACCTTATTCGGCCGTTCAGTAAGGTTGCGAAACAAGTTCTTCTGGTACGGCATTGTGGAAAAGCCCGCTTGTTTTCCAGCATGATCAAAGCTTTCAGCTCAGCAAAATATAGCCCCCAAAGCTTACAAGCTATAATCTCCTTATTCTGGAACTTATTTATTAACGGATAGCACATTACAAACTCATATTGCGATTCCCATGCGATGACCGTCAAAATAATTTCACTAGACGGATATCTAGTACAAAATTTCGAGATGCTTTCGGAATGTATCAGGCGCTCTCTCTCGAATCTGCTTATAAATTTCAACTTGTTGTTTGTACGCCTTTATTCAGTATAATGCATCTTCCGATATCAAACCGCAGCGCGAATGGAGAGAATCTCAGAACAATCAGGGGCGTGGCGGTTTCTAAATGAAACCCCACTCCCTAACAAGGCCCCTTTATTGTAAGGAGCAGGAAATGTAAAATCTCACAGCACTCAAACATCACTCATGGAGTCTTCGCCTTGTGATCACTCGTTGACTGGTCCCTGAAGCGAGGAATTCCCAGCCAGAAGTTCCATCACTCTATGCGCAGTCGCACTTTAGATCTACGGGTAGTTCATCAGTAGTGTGAGAGAAATTTTGGAACTTCTCAACTTGCACGTGGAAATAATGTATGATGAAGGGCGGAGAAGTAGTGTACGGCTGACTCATTCTGGTTCAAAATCGAACGGTAGCTTATTAGGAAGTATAGCTCGCGCAACGAGCAAACCCTCGGCCTGAGAATTCGCCACTTCAAGAACCAGCTAACTAATGTTCCCCCGGTGGCCAATCGTGCCCATGGAACGGTTCCGAGAATTGTGGGATTGCACGAAGTCTTACGCTGTAGCGCACAGGATTAGCTTGTCCAGCAAAGGAACAGAGAATTTTGTTTAAATACCTTTCAATTCCAGTGTATTTGATCGGCGGCACATGCTCATTGTTAAGCAAAAAGTACAAGAGTAAATTTACCAAGAGCCACCTAGTAAACCTGGCCTGCGAGAGCACAATTATTGGTTCCTTATTGGCGTACTGTCTTAGAAGGTAATGGCGGGCTAAAACAGGCTTCGAAAAATATAGCAAAAGCTGTCCAGCAAAATGCTTCCTGACAATGTGTGGTACGAATCAGGTCAGTTTGAGTGTTTTCTCTACGCTTCCAGCTTTTGCCCCTTGGTCGCCTCAAGTGCTCAAACTGGGACCAGGCAGGCATGTTTTCGGCTCGGTCTGCCGGATATGAATGGAAATGTAGCTCTCTGAGAGATCTTACTTCGATGCTATCGGACATGATTCCGCATGGCTGGGTTTCCCTGTTAGATGTGGAACTAGTAATCCATTAAGATAGTCACACGTTTTAGACAACTGACCGTTTGATTGATATATATTTAATGCAAAAACGCAAGGTGAGCAAAAACAACAAAAGTGCACAGGTAAAAACCGGTCGGCCGTTCCGCACATGGAAGTATGGAAAGTGAAAATTCAATTTGTGTGTGAATACTTTTCAGTTTCTCAGATTGGACGCCGTGGGGCTGCTGCAGCTCAACCTATAACAAACAAACAAATTGAGGGTCATGCCTTAGAGGCGATGATCCGTCAACTGGCTAACGTCGAAGGATATTGTTTTTCCGGAATGGCAGGAAGTAAGAAATACGCAGTACGGCGATAAATTTGAGGTAAGACCCATGGACCTTTCGACACCCGTAATCAAGTCATTTTTATTTGTCGCTGATCGGATTGTTCGGCCAAATCACGATAGCAGCTATCTTCCTCAGGTTTAGAAGTGTATCTATCACAGCACAAGCCGATATAACACAGATACTGTTTACTCGGTTAAGGCACAATGGGATTAATTAAAGCAGTCAGCTTATCAATGGAAACGTTACCATTAGGGGCCCAATGGTCGTTTGACGTAAAATCGACCTGAAAGATAAACGCAACCCGAAAGATGTCAGGATCTCGGGCAATCGTACCAGGATAGTCCAATATCTGATGATGAAATTCCAATCCATTTTATGTTTTGGAGACAAACCTCATCAGCTAAAGGCCAGGACAATGTTTGAACCGTCTTCTTCTGTCTTATTTGACACAGGGTGCTTAGGTCCAAAAGAATAATGTGAAGCAAATGCATTATGGTTGTTAAGAGGAGAGTTTTATTTTTTTACAGAAACCTCAACACGAAATAATCCCTGGAGGGTTTGCACCTAAATGAACAAGATGGACCACAGTTTGCTGAAGAGGAGTAAGTGAATGAAGATTTGTCATGAATCGTAACCAGCTTTGTTGGCACCAAAAATGCATTACTATCGTTGTCCTCCCGGAGCGCTGTAAGAACATTGGCGATGTTGACAATTTACTGTCTTACTAGCATAAATTTTCTCATTATGTTTCAATACATAGGGCTGTAAATTTTGATGATGACAGACAGTTGCAGCTGCTCCGCCGTAGCCCCACAGAACTGTCTACTAATTCGGGCGCTGTCGGACAATCTGGAAATAAACCGGCAGCATAAACGCAACAGACACCAGTCAGTCTTCTCAACACTTGCGCAGGAAGGACGGCAATGTTTGACATTTTAAACATCTTGCAAATTTGAAATTCGCCTGTCACATTTGACACCCTATGCAACTTTCCCTTGGTTTGAAATTGATCGGGTTCCATCTGCCGGATATCTCTTAGTCGTGCTTAGCCTCCTACACTACGTGGATGATTATGCTCATAGGCCGGATTTCCTAGAGCTTTACATTCCACTTTGATTTTTCTCTAATAAATAGCAAGCAGAGAGGCAGTACTTCAAATGTTTTTCAAGCATGTACGTCAGGTCCGTCCGTGAAAAGCAGCGAAGAAGTATCTGTAGCGACGTCAGCAGGTCGCGAACACGCGCCTTCCGAGCTAGTGATACATACGCTCAACCGTTCCACCGAGGTTTGTTGGCCACCGGGTAAGAATTTGTTAGCTGGCCCTTGGAGTGACGAATTCCCAAGCCGATGGTTTGCTCGCTGCATGAGCTACCCTTGCTAATAAGCTACCGTTAGATTTTGAACCAGAATGAGTCAGCCGTACACTACTTCTCCGCCCTTCATCATACATTATTTCCACGTGTAAGTTGAGAAGTTCCAAAATTTCTCTCACACTACTGATGAACTACCCGTAGATCTAAAGTGCGACTGCGCATAGAGTGATGGAACTTCTGGCTGGGAATTCCTCGCTTCAGGGACCAGTCAACGAGTGATCACAAGGAGAGGACTCCATGAATGATGGTTGGGCCTCGCGTCAGACCATGCATGTGAGTTTTGATCACACTACTTTTCGTTACATAAACCTGTTAAGTTCTTGCAGTATTCGACGTAACTGCGACTTTATATTATTCTCCCTCAATGTGTGCTTCCCGGAAATGGACGCGATACTTTGCCAACGATTGCGGTCTCTATCTTTCCCTGTAAACTTATAGACAGTCGGTTTTCGTTTGCGTCGGACGGTGGCACTTGGTTAGAAGAGCGTGACTGGGCTGGCACATCTGTCATGGAAGTTGACGGAGCCATCAGCTGAGTGAATTGCCCAACATCATGCACCCATGTGGACAACCCCGCGGAGGCAACGTCAAACCACCCGGTACTACTAATTGTGTATACCGAGTTACTCAAGTGTCGGTGACACTGCACTCGACCACTTATATAATACGGCTTTGTGTTCCCCGTCCTCTCCTTTGTGTGTTGTAATTAGTGCTGTAGCAGAGCCCGCGATGCAGAACGTGCTTGAGATAGAGAGGTATCGTTGCTATGGTGTCACTTGGTTGGAGAAGGAATGACGATGAACTCAGACCGTGCACATTAGCCGTGAACGCGGCAGATGCGTAACTATTGGAACCTGAGCGATTGTCAATGTACCCGATTCCTTCAGACATCAGGTCGGTGCAGCGAGTGTTATTGATCACCTCAGATGTAGAACAGACAATTTGGGATCACAATTCTCCACTAGTACAGTATCCGTGTTGGATCTGAACCGGAGCAAACTGATGACGAATTATGGATGAGTCAATCAGATTTGTTATCCTAACACTGCCGTGGACGAACTGCGTATCCGAAAGCTTAGATCCCTTCAGCGTACCGTCTGTGCAGTCTGTGGTTGAGGAGAACTCCATAGTGTTCGCTGGCATGAGGCTCCCTTTTGCTCCTGGATAGAGCGCTATATATATATATATATATATCTGAGCGATTGTCAATGTACCCGATTCCTTCAGACATCAGGTCGGTGCAGCGAGTGTTATTGATCACCTCAGATGTAGAACAGACAATTTGGGATCACAATTCTCCACTAGTACAGTATCCGTGTTGGATCTGAACCGGAGCAAACTGATGACGAATTATGGATCAGTCAATCAGATTTGTTATCCTAACACTGCCGTGGACGAACTGCGTATCCGAAAGCTTAGATCCCTTCAGCGTACCGTCTGTGCAGTCTGTGGTTGAGGAGAACTCCATAGTGTTCGCCGGCATGAGGCTCCCTTTTGCTCCTGGATTGAGCGCAATATATATATATATATATATTGGTGCGATCCCTCCCTCCGTATTGCCACAATCAGCTACCGCTCCACTGACCAGAGGAATTCCATTAACGAATTCAAGAGTGGTTGGAAGGTGGCATGCATACAGAAGAAGAAAACGGGGTTCACAATTTCTATTTGCGGTTGTGAATAAGGCAAAAATACCAATTGCGAGTGGATTCCCATCTTTTGGCTCAACGAACTGTGAATCGGGTTGCATCTGTTCATTCGGCACTAAAGCTGTCTATTAGCTCGCACAATGAACACTTTAGTCACAAGAACACGACATCAAGATCCAGCACGTGCCTTGGAGGGAGAACCAGCAGTCTGGTTGGTTGTCAAGACCAGAGATTGGAAGTGCTACCCACAAGACCATGAACGATGCAAATAGCCAAGTCGTACTGGATCCCGGTAGGATGGCGGTGAGGGAAGCAAATAATTGGATACATCACTGATTCACCTCGAGAGACTGAGTCACAATGGTGCCTGACTGGTAGGTGAGCTTGCCAATGGTGTCAATAACACGCTGCCATGTGACACAGCGAAATTCAGGCAAGTTCCCAGGTATGCGGATATACGGCAAGCATCTTTTCTTCTAGTAGCTGGGGCAAAGAGCCCTAGAACATTTTTCCCCCGTTGAAGAAAGGAATAAGTTAAACTGCAAAAACAAGAGAAGGACCATACCCCACAGGCACCGAGGCCAAGCTGAGGGACCTTCGGAATCATGGAATTAGCAGTCGGTGTCGCGGAAGTTGGGCAGTTGCTGTTAAGGTTCGTCTTTTGGTTACTGATCGCCGGGGAACGTCACTACCGTACATCCGCAGAAATTAGCGTTGAGTATTGGGGTTGAACACTGTGGCGTTTCCAAGCACAAACCTTCGTCTAGTGGAGTTTGAAGTTCATTGTGGAACGTGTGGAATGGGTTTGCGGTGTTCATTTAAAGATGAGTGGTAGTCAACGAATATCCATGAAAACACAAGAAGCCGCGAAAGAGTCCTTAGCATGAAGAATATTATTTCTAGTTCAAAGTTATCTAACGCCGGATTCGTTGTTAGATAACAAACGATAGTGCGACGAGGATATACACAACGTAAAACATGCTCAGGGGAGACGGCTGTTGGACAAACAAGATGAAGTTTGTCTAGACAGTGAGTGTTCCTCGGAAATAAAGATTTAAAGCAAAAGGGTTCGTCGCCTATAATGAAGGCGTGTTTTGTGGATCCATTGAAAATTTAGTTTGTCACAACTGACCCAAGAATTGTCAGATCAGTTTGACCTGGTTCACAGCAGGTCATTTGTTTTTCTGAGGACGGCTGCGTCACTTATCAAGATTTTGAGTGAACATGATACCTTGCGACCCGGTTCAAATTTGAGGGGTCATCATGTTAACACGCGAAAAGGATAGAGAGAAAACATGTTAAAATATAAACAGGTAAATCAATAGGCCACAAGGTTTCAGAAAATCTACGGCCGCCCAAAGAAGAGCTGTCACAGTGCCGTACAGACGAAATTTGCATGCAATATCATGTTTTATTACAAGGCTCGACGGAACCACGAGAAAAACAAATTCTGCAGTGCAGATATATACGTAAGATTTACCTACTCTCCCGAAAATAAATTTAACGAACACATTTTGGTGAACAATATACGTGGCTAAGGGATAGTCTACCATCTTCTGTTGCTCACCACATTAGGGTTAACCTAAAGTTAAGCCCTATGGTCACTCACCCTCGTGAGATCGAGTCGTTTCCTACAAGCCCGCCCACACTTGCGGCACTTAATCACCTTTACACCTAGGTTTGCATATTAGCATTCCGTTTACGCGAACACACCGCATTTTGTAGAAATCATTTAGGTGCCTGTTTTAGGTCGTTATTTTACAGAACGTAGGTTCCGCAAAATACCGAAGAAACGCCCCATCCTTTGTTGGATATGAATTTACACGGTAGCGGTAAGGCGGGTTTATTATGATTATGGCGATGTTGCAAAAGAAAACCATAAGACCTTCAAAGGACATGTTAAAAGTTGCTCTGGAACTATAAGTGACATCATTCTATTCCTATTGATTAGTTGGGCAACTCCATAAACATAGAATTTTGT